CAAAATCGGAATGTTAAAAGTTTCATGGAACAGCCAGTGATTTTTAAATGATAACTCAAGGTCATTCTATAAATCTTTTTTCTTTGTATAAGAAGCAGGTAATTTTGGTATAAATAACAACTATAAAACCGCCTAAAATCAACACGTATAGTTCTTAACAACTGGAAAAAATACCTACCTAGGTACGGTTACATAATATTTGGAAAGTAATAAGTCATTTTATCATGTTTATGAGAGGAAATAAATTTTTCCGGTGCAGGTGTTCGAAAACAGTTTATCGATTCATTTTCTACCATAAAAATTAACAATCGATTGGTTTAACTGTACAATAAATATCCCTAATTTTGTTATTTCAATACATAATTTTGTCTAAAATAAGAAGATTGTTTTAAGAATTTTGTAGTGAAATGAGTATGTAAAATTCTGTAGTATCAATACGTATCTTCAACTAGACGGACTTAATAGCCAAATAAAAGGACTGGAGATACGAACATGTAGTTTCAAGGATATCTAAATAAAACGATGAAGCATGTCCATGGGTACACTCAAATTAATTCTTTTTGAACCTTGCCATGCTGGTAGAGCGTAAGAATTATACTCGCCTCAATAGCATGATGATCAGAGACGACAAAATTTGGGAGCAATGTCTTTTCTCTTCTCCCTTAACAAAAGTATTTTCTTTAATGCGTATACCTCACTTTTGACCATTGGTGATTTTTGATCGGGGTTGCACATAGTGCAAATCCGGGTTATAGTATGGTGAAGGGCGGGGAAAAGGGGTACCAGTTTTGTAGAACCAACTTCTCCTAGAGTTTTTGACGTAGAAGCTTGAAACTTTGTAGGATGTTTAAATATATGTTGACAATGTGCGCCTCATATTATAGATTCATTCCAGACATATTTTCTGGATTTTCCGGGCTTTCTAACTTAGTCGTTTTCTGAAACTTTTCTTGTTATCACAGTTTCTCAGAAACTACTACGAACTGCACCAATTAATAAAATACAACAAATGTTCTCTCTTATATCAAATATTCTACAAACTCAACAATTGAAATACCTTTAACTGTCTTATAAATACCATATAACATTGCACTCGTCCCGCAACCCGGCAAATTGTGGCTTCGCCCAATTTTTTTCATAAAGACATTGGCGTTGTTGAGCGTCTACCTAAGCAAGAAAGACTACGGGTTAAGTCCTGGGACCGAGTCCTTGCATTAGGTATTCTATATGTTTACTCTATGTTTAGCTTTGAATGCCATGATAACTTGTACCGACTATGACACTTCAGTGTGATTGCACTATAAAAGTGTCCTTGGAGCTGAGTTCGTGTGTTGCAATGCGTAAAACACCATTTAGACAAATAAGATCATATATTGATAGAGTGATTATAGAAATACACTAATCAATGCACTTACACCACCCATCAGTTAAATATTGGTTATTACATGTGGTGTTTGACCTAGTGATGGTGTGATAGACTGAAAAAATCCTATTGTTTCCATTATGACGCAATAATGTCAAACGAATTGTAACGTCACAAATAAAATCGATATAACGTGACACTATTTCCATTTTAGACTTCATATCAGTCTCTTTAAAAGCTGTTTTCCCAAATACTTACATAAAAATGCTAAAAACATCCTCTTACTCTCGTTTCCATTTCACAAATGATTTATGAAGCTCGCCACGGTTTTTCATTTTTTTCTTTTAAAATCTAACGGGATTAGAGAAATAATTCTCAGACTCGGTACATCTGTACACGTACCTTCCTCTGTCTAACAGCCGTAAATATCGACAGTGCGTGACAGTGTTCGTATGGTGAGTCGGTTTTTGAGTCAGGACTGTCCTTTCAGTTTCTTGTTTTTTCACATTTGCATATATGTTGATTTTGAAAGATCAAGTTGAGGATGTATTACGTCATATTCTGTACGTCCGTTTGTAAAGACAAGTAATAATTATATGGAAAGTCCCTGAATCAATTACACATAACAAAAAAAAACAAATTTTATCAATTAATGAAACGAAATATAAACGCATATAACACATGTGTCCCTGACAGTGGCGTAGCAAAACATTTTTAGGAGTGTATGCTTTCAAGAAAGGATCCAAGGGCGAAGCCCCGGTTAAGGGGGTCTAGGGGCGCAATAAGGTTAAAAAAAGTAGGGCAAATATATCTCAATGGAATTCGAGTGTATGTTTAAGCATACAAGAATAAATTATTGCTACGCCTCTGCCTGAGCCTACTTTAATTTGATAAACTGCAATGAAAAAATTAATATCTTTATTTTTTTATTTATTTTAACATTCCCTTCCCTTGTAGTCAATTCGGATATGTTTGCTTAATGTATGATCCACACTGGTCATTTGTCTGATGAACGTCACACTCTAATCTTCTGGTTCTTTTAGAAGAATTTCTATTTAATAACTACTAATATGTAATTAAATTGAGACAGAATATAAAACAAAATTTTCATTGTATATATGGTTTCCAAGGATACTCAATTGACGCTAAAAATTTGTTGTTGTCGATTACTGCGATACTTCGAACTAAACCCCACTCGAGTAAAGCTTCGTGTAAACATTACAAGCTTGTAGATGTGTTTTAAGTTGAGGGACAAACACTCTTTTTATCACTTATGTTAGTATAGGAATTTTCTTAAATCTCTGCAAAGCTTTCGTGGACAGACAGGGTCTTATATAAATTGTGATGAATAATTGTTTATTTTTGTCTCTGCTTCAAACAATTGGTCACAGATAGGTACAACCCAGCTCTAATTAAAACGAATTCTTAAAGTTTGTGTTTTGTTTGTTGAAATTTGTTTTCTGTAATGTTTTGTATTTCAAAGCAAATTATAACATTTCAAAATCACATTAAACATTTGATTGCCAGCGTGATTCAACATGTGTGAAATGTACCCGCGTGTAATGACGTCCGTGGTGGAAAAACAATCGATGATTCCAGGCCTGAGGTTATGTGGGCGTACTACGCCTGTCAATGAAAAACCCTGGTTGTGACGAATGGTTACCCGGGACTACATGATCACATGATATTCGCTACAGTCATTTCACTTCCGGGTCGAGAGCGAACATTTGTTTGTTCTAAGCTATGACTGCATATGTGTGGGTTTATATGTACGATGATCTGTCACGGGTCGATCCATCATGATACGCACCTGGTGACTGGTTATAATTTGATATACTTATCACTTCAACCATATTCACTTTTTATAGCAGAGCATATTTATGTTAAATGTACCGCACACGGCAAAATCTCAATAAACTTTTGTTGATAAAATCTTCAAATATTCTTCAATACCACAAGCAATTATCGCTGAACCAAAGAATTAGAAAACTTAGTAGTTCAATTTTAATTCATATCATAGTATATGCGTTAATTACGTAGTCCCGTCTAACATAATCTTTTAGAAATAGATCTCGAAAGTAATATTCCGTATGTCGTGGCTTATGCTAATTAGTAATAAGTCAAACCACTGAACATTTGCTAACCAGTCTGTTGGATATTGCGAAAATGTGTTACTCTTTATCGGCTAGCTTTTAACGATATTTATATACGTGCTTTTGTTATCGTGCTGTAACATGTATGCAGTTTTAATCGAATAAATGAATTTTACAAGTAGATACAAAAACTATGTAAATGACGATTACTAGCAATTCGTAACCTGTTCACTCGATTTCTTTACTTCCGATTGACTTGTCAAAAATACACATGAAAAGGAGTGAATGTGGGCCTTAATTCAAATTTATAACTTAGATTTTAGTGTTCCTGCATTTGAAATGACTTCCTTAAGACTGATTTTACCATATAAGTTGATTTTACACACGAATTTTTTAAAATAATGTATAGACACATCATGCAAATCGTGCAAAATGTGGGTCAGTTTTAATATCGTTCATTAAGGTGTACAACATGCCGCAAGGGGTAAACGCTGCGTGCATGTACCACGAATGACAACTCTGTGTATTCAATATTTGTCGTCACTCGTCATCATCGTGTCAAAAAAAAATATACATATCCCGAATTCCATTAAGGAACACACTGGTCAATTTTTGGCAGAGGTCAGACACGTGATTTATCATACTGACCTCTGGTCATCTGCTTGACCTTATAGTAACCAAGGTACATCTCCACCCATCACCTGTCACATAGGTGACTAGATAGGTAATGTTGATTGACAACTCACCTAATAGATATGTATGATGGAGCGACTTTTTTTTCGTAAGATTTACCTTACATTTTCGTCATACAAAATGTATTTCTAACCATCAAATGTCAAGAAATGATGAGTTCATCTACTGTTGACGAGATATAGTACTTAAATCAACCCATCTCTGGTCATTTCGGAGCTCATAGCTCAACCAGTTACACAAAGTACGGGATTACTTATGTTGAAAACCAGGAATACGACAAAGTTAAACGATATGATCACGTTGATTTTAGGTTCGTATATCTTTAATATCTCGTACAATGGCGCATCCAATTATTGGAATTGGCTAATTGCTTCTATCAATAGTTAATCTGTTTCAGTTTCCTTTTAAAAAATGACGGATTCACTTTTAATCGCGTAAATTGGAATATTTTAGCATATTTTCTGTGTCACTGTATTTGTTATCTTTGCACATTCTTGGATATACTAGTTAAACTATCAGATTTAAGTGCCGAGCGATTATACACTGCTGTTTAAGTACACGTATTTCCCTTTAACATTGGTCAAAACAATGTTTCAGAAATTGCTGTTTTTCATTTATTATATATAATTCAATCAGATTATGTTACTTTCGACTTTGATTTTTATCGGGCATCCACATCATTTACAGAATGTGTTTAGATAACCTACTTAAATTATTTTGAATATAAAAGATTTGCTTTTTCAATTTTGATTTTTTCCTTCTTCTTTTTTAAATCAATGATGAACAAAGCACTTTGTACATTGAACACGTGTATATGCAACACAATACTAATCTTTTTTTCCTTTTTTCAGTCTTCGCCCTTTTGGGGTCGTGTTCAGCACAGCAAGGCCAACAGTTTCCAACAGGGCAACAATTTCAGCCTGGTCAACAACTACGACCTGGTCAACAATTTCAACCAGGACAGCAATTTCAGCCCGGACAAACGCAAGCGGGACAACAATTTCAGCCAGGACAAACGCAACCAGGACAACAATTTCAACCCGGACAAACACAACCGGGGCAACAATTTCAACCCGGACAAACACAACCGGGGCAACAATTTCAACCCGGACAAACACAACCGGGACAACAATTTCAACCTGGCCAAACGCAACCAGGGCAACAACTACAGCCTGGACAGGTTCAACCCAGCCAACAATTTCCTACAGGGCAAGTTCAACCTGGGCAACAATTTCAGCCCGCGCAACAATTTCAACCGGGCCAACAGGCTCAACCTGGTCAACAAACCGGTCAAATGCAGCCTGGACAACAAGTTCCAGGACAGACTCAACCAGGTCAACAGACAGATCCTAATCAACCACCGACCATTGACCCAAATGCAGTTCCTCAGCCAGGGCAGTGTATACAACAGGTACAGCAAATAAGTGTGAATTGTTTTATGAAACAAGGGGTCCCGATACAGCTTGCTGACGCCATTATTACAAACGGAACCATGGTCCAGCTTCCTCCGAATGCCAATCTACCAGAACTTCGGAACGCTCTTTGCGCGTAAGTAAAAAAAACAACATACTCTATTCCTCTCAACATTATTTTTAATTTGCGTTATAAAATTTTACGTCTAATTTTATTATTTATCTGCATATATTTTACTTTTTAGCTATCATATAACAATGTTGAGGAACAATCCTTATCATAAATCAGTTCGGAAAGAGATTGGATTTCGTCCATATGCTCTTTTCATAAAAGTGATTAATCGAAAAAACAAGTCACCCAAGCAATGGTTGATCTTTTTTCCAGGATCAGAACAGACCTTATTCAGTGTATCATTCCGCCGACCTTAACTATGCGAGACCAAGGGGCATGTGTAGACAAAAAGGAGTTCAACTTCGCGGAGGGACAAATAGTAAACCGTATTAATGCTTTGCAGTCTGTCTGTGGAGCAGGTAGGTCAACTTTTTTTACACAGTAGCATTTTGTATGTCACTACGAGATTTAAATCTACATTTGTTGGAATAAACATAATGAATTTTAAATATATCATCTGTTTGAAAGTTTAAATAGTCATTTAAACTGTGGACAAATATTCTTCAGAACATTTTTATGGCCTAGTATATTGATTAATTCCGATTAATGATAAAAACAGAAATGAGAAATTCAGTTAAAATGCGACATATTTTGAAACGTACGTCCCTAGTAATGATTTTTGTAAAAGTAATATGTTTTTTAATTTACTAGGTAATCTTTCGCCAGCTAGTGAATGCATCAAAACATTAAAACCTGATATGCAGAAATGCCACGATAAAGTCGGGTTTGAAAAATCCATGTTTGTGAGCAATTCTTCCGCCGTGAAAGGAGCCCTGATTGGGCGAGACAAACCATCCGCCGTGAGGTTCTGTGCGTAAGTAAATAAAACAACGGTTCAGTAGTATCAGACAGTGGTGCCCACAGTACAGTTAGCAATTTCATGCCTTTCGCTCATTTCAGACATGAAGTCAAGCATTGTAAAAACATGTCAATTTCATATAAATATATCCTTGTTTTTATTTTCTTGTAATTGGTAATTTAATAGTTTTGTTAATTATCCAGGTCTTTTAAATCAAGAAAGTTATAAACAAACATAATCTATAACGCAGTGAATGACTCGATATTTACGAGTAGACACATTTTTGTCTGAGATTTATTCGGTTCAAAATTGTTTCGGAAGCAAAATAAGAAGAATATCCACAATTTTAATTACGAAATGGACGTATCGGAACTTAACTGATGATTTTTTAAATATTGCTATAGAAGCCATTAGCATCATGATTTAAATCTGAATTTCAAATTTCTTTCATGAAGAATCAACAACATTGTTATTAACTTTGTATTTGACAACGCAGGGTCTTTCCGTCTTTTTCTACATGTAATATTCCGATATTTATATATTCCATTCTTACTTCAGCTCTCGTCTTGAACTGTACCAATGCATGAGGGGTGTAATTGACGCTTGCCCGGGGGCCCCGGAATACATGTTACTGACAGGATATGATCACGATTCTATGGAGAAGAGTATTGAGGTTTTGTGCCAGGATATTGATGGTAAGTACACAGCTTGATTATTGATCTTGTAGTTTATATAAAATGTTTTCTTTTTCGATTCTTAATATTTTTTGGAAAATTAATTTTTAGTAGTATGGAGGTAGATAGCCGGGGATTATGTATAAAGAAATAAAATAGACCAACCCATCCTATCGCGATCCTTTATAAAACATCGTGTCATAAGTGGGGGTTTTTTTTTTTTTTTTTTAACATAAGCTATATAACATATATTACACAATGTATCATATATGTTGTTGTACATCATAAGGATTGATGTATGATATTTCTGTCATTTCCCTACACTTTCAACCTGTTTCTTTCTTCACCGTTCTTATTTACAAATTCGTTCTGTTGTATAAAAAATATTTATATATTTATGTCTAATGTTGCTGTCACATTGTTGAAATAAATTGTGGAGGAGAGAGTTTCTATCAGTTGTCATAACTTGTATCAAGACCTCCTGCTTATTTTAGAAGCAATAGAATATGTTTCAAGCGAACTAAAATCACATAGAATAAGGTTTATTGTTTCTTTCGCGACAAAATAGACTTTCTCATTGTACTGTAATAATGATCTGAATTTTATAAAAAAAAAAGTATATTCAAAGACCAATTCAGACAGATTCTTGAGTAACTTCAGTATCAAATATATCGCGTGCATCTTTCAAATTGTCTTTTTATTCCCTGCAAGAAGTACGTTCAGCTTATTGTTTTAATATTACAGTATACGTGAACGGCCTGTCGTGTTTCCAAGAACCCCCTCCCTCAGTCATTACTTGTTTCGATAACATGATGGCTAAGATGATTGAATTAACGGCGAAGGAGATCGAAAATGTCGTCGACAAGGAAAAGTACTTCAAGGAATATTGCAAGTAAGTAAAGCAATTAAAAGTCATAATTCATATTGGTTGTCATATAAGTACAGTTACATTCAACCTCACCAATTTAAACTGTGAATTATATTACATTTATTAATCGATGGTATAAAAGACACAAAGTTGATTAAGAGACTAGTTCACCCTCTTGCGGATGAGATAGGGTGATCTCAGTCCGAAGGGAAAGATTATTAAGTTGACAAACAAATGATATAAAAAGGGAAGATACAAAGATACGTAGATACATACAAAAGTACCTGAAAATGACAAGAGAAAAATATCACCATGGCACGAAGCCTTTTCAGTTGTAAAATATTTTGTTGTTCCAAAGGCGCCAATGAAATTAATATTATTCCAAACAAAATGTATTGGCAGTTGATGAGGAGTTCAGTGTTGCTTCAAATTAACTAAATGACGTCAAACTTTTTACAGGGTGAGAGTTGAACATCTCCAGTGTGACATGAAAGGATGGAAGGACAAATGTCCAGCTGAAAGCGTTGGACTCAAGAACGAACATGAGTGTACTTTACTTCCGGCTCGGTGTCAGAAGGACGCTTCGCTCAACCAACAGTTAGAAAGTGTATGCAAGGTCTCCAATTTTGAACGGAAGTTACGTCAATTGCAAGCAGGCAGCAAGGGAGATAATGCGGCTGGTGCGGTGCACAGTTCAATTATTGGAACAGCTATTGGATTAATAATCTCTTTGGTTCTTGGTGCTTTATAACGTGAAATTGTGTATATTTCTTAAATATGTTAGCTTTACCATTTCATACTATGTTTGTAAATATATTACACATACTTAACTGGTTCTTATTGGGCTGTCTGTACATGCGTATTGTACATAATAGAAAAAAAACAGCAAACGTTTTCTTTCGAGAAGCTTTGACATTGAGTTGTAAAGTCCCTTAGATGTCGTGATAAATCTTTACACACGTGACACGTGTCTAGTGTGTTTGCAATTTATCTCGATAAAGTGTTTATTTGAAATTATGTATTTTTTAAGTAGTTGGTTTATTGATAATTTCATACCCCTTGTATTTAGACATATCCATGTAATGAGAAATTATAGATGGCGAAAGATGGAATTTGTTGGCATTGGTTTTGTTGTCTTAAGGTTTCTCCTCGAATTCAATGTATTTGTGTACTTTGCTTTATTGACAGGCAAATTACTGTACACATTTTGTGATTTACAAACATATTTCTAGTTTCTTTGTATCAATGTTTTGTGGTCGGACATTGTTTGTAAACATGATAGTTGCAATCTGATCTTTGTACGAAATTACAAATAAAAAGCGTAATTCCCGGAAAAATTTTGTTTTGTCATACATAAACGGCTATATTTGGTGTCAGCTAGACTATACTGGGGCATTAAAACCAGGCTGATTAAAAAGGCAAAATACTGCGCAGTCGTTACGGAAGGAGTAAACATATTTCTCCGGGAAAAATGATCTTACACAAAGAGATGTTCGTTGATAAATACCATTCTGAAGAATATTACAAGATGAAGGAAATTTTAAAGATAAATATAAATTTCAGATAATGCACTTATGTACGTGGGCAACATTGCATACAGTGCTGATATTTATTGTAACAATGTCTTTGATATTTGACACAAAAAGCAATCCCGTGCAAGCGCATTCGACAGAAAAGCAGTGTGAAGTGTGAGATTGATCGATTTCTTTGGTCTTTCGTTATTGTCCCGAAATGCTTATCCGGACAAGGAGATTTGACATTTTGACCCGAAAAGTTATTCCAAGCAAGTACTTACGTTAAGAAAGCAGTGTATGGAAATTTATTTTTATCAGTCAATGTGGACTAGAGTGATTGCTCAGAAATCTAGATTTGTTTGAAGCAGATTTTTTTTTATCAACAGTTTACAGTGACCTTGACTTTTGACCTAAAAAGTAATTCCAGACCAAGCACCCTCGAATAATAGGAGTCGTTGAAGTTTAGGTTTTTTGATAGGAGGGCGGCAAGTTTTATATGACAACACGCCATCTAACGCAACATATCGGATAGACTCCCCACCTCCTGCAGCATCAAAATGTTAGTGGACCCTGGTAATGTCAGCGTAAGGAAGTTCCATTTCATATGGTACTTTCTGAAATTCCATACGCTACTACGGATTAGGTAAAATAAATAATTACCAGACTGAATTTTATTTTTTTAAATCTCGAAGTTACAGTTCGATGGGAGATAACTCTAGCTATCAGTATGATGCGGTTCATTGCTTTTAAGTCAGCATTGGAATGACTGCCTTAAAACGAAGAGATTATGGAAGATATTTTTTTAATGAACGGCATTTCTCGACGATGGAACGCTTCAGATTTACGACTAAAGGATTTTGCGTTTCCTGCTATCAAGATTTGCTCTCAAGATTTATGTTTTTTTAAGACATATGTCTTGACAAACATTCCGAACAAAATACTGATATACAGTGTCCTCAATTGGCTCTACACTGAAGGTTTTATTGCAGCAAAGGAATAGCCATGTTATCTTACACGAAACATATATTTATCCGGCAACTAGCGCTGTAATTGTTTGAATACACCTGCTACATATAATTTTGCTGTATTAGGCAGTGACGGACTGTATTTTAGCACGTGCGGTAATTCGACAGAATTACTTTCTGAATTCACTTTAAAATTACGTTTAATTATATAAATAACTGTTGAAATAAGTGATTTTATATGTTATAATGGATAAATTTAATGATGAAATTTCAAAAAATCGCTGTTATATCCGTTGAAGTTTGGAACTACATTTTTGCGCGGACCAATCATTTTGGCGTGCGTCATCAGGCAAAATTTACCAAAACGTGAACGACAGGTAAACCAAGAAGGAACAACAAAACTATTTAACTTTCAATAGTCTGATTTTCAATCAATGTGGCAAGATAAATAGAATTCATGGTCAGTGTCTTAAAATAAACAACTGCATTTTGTCTCAGTACAGAAAGAGAAAGAGGACTCGTCTTAACAATCTCCAAAATACAGCTGATATTTTAAGATGCATGTATTATTTATATATTTGAATATGACATTACAATGTATAAAACAAAGTACCATAACACTTGTCAATGTACCAGTGTACTTTTCTGTCCTTTAACGTAGACTTAAACCGAATTAAAATTAACATGAGAATCTGTAATGTTAGTCGAGTATGGAACTATTATATGTTACGCCCAGAGTTTAATTTAGCGGGTTTTTTTTAAATTCAGAATCCACCGCCAGTATTAGCTGTTCATATATACATGTATAACTCAGCTTATCGTCCGTCCGTTTTTAAATTTGTAATCTTTTGGCTAGAAATGACAATTTTCACTTAAGAAGTAGCTTACGCGTCGTAGGATTGCAAATTGTGAAATTTTACCACATGTGAAATACTTAACCTCATATAATTGTTCGTGAATTTCAGTTTTGGATAAGGGGTATACATTTATTTTTGTTTAATTTATAGTTGCCTATTTTTTGTTTACCTTAATATGTCGGTTTTTGTAGTTTTAATATAATTATTTTTTGTCTATTATTATTTTGAAGTAAAGTTTTATTTTCATTCTACAAATAAAGAGATAACTATTTTACGAATTTCTTTCTTTCCGTAAACAATTCCGCGAATTTTTGCAGTCGTGTTCATTAACAAAACAACTTGAACACGTATGAAACTGACAAGACCGTTCCGCTACTTGTAAGAAGTTTATTGTAGACCCGCTCTAAAAACACGTCATTATAACAAGTTCCGCCCACTCCCTCCTTCCCCCGTCGATGGCGTGTGGCCTTCCAGATTCTTGAGTCGATAATCACAAAATTGTGTCATTGTTTGACCCTCGTCAGACACAGGACAACGTATTGAATACTCCTGATCAATATCTGGACCTCCGCCAGTGAATAAAGATATCGTATTTTCCCTCTGGCGATTTCTCATCCGACAAATGAGAATTCTTAACGTTACAATTGGACACGTGCGCTTGCGGTAGAAATGAAAGTTTAAAATATCATTGATCTTAACTACAGGAATTCAACTCTTTTCTCAAACAGAGAGGAGAATTATATAATACTGACTTTCTAAATTTTCGTATCAGGTGTGAAATGAAATCATGACTCAGGTGGCATTCCCGTTATAATTAGCCGGTCAACACGAGAGAATTTCAACAAGATCAGTTACAGCCTGAAGTCCATCACCGTGACTATACAGTTTCATATGACGGCACTGGTTCCGGTTTCAGATTAGCTACACGAGGGTAATGCCTTAATCTTTAATCGAAATAAAATAATTAAATTACTGTGTTTTTTTTTTTTTTTTTTTTACACTTTCCTTCTCAATTAGACGTCTACAGATATATATGTACTTATTCGTGATACAGGATCACAAGAAACCCTCTACACCGGACACACTAAACAGCAATAAAATCAGAAATTGTGACGTTGGATTACATCATGGACATATGTCAGATCTTTGGATTTAGATTCTTGAACAAATACAGTCGATGCTGTAACCTCATTTTCCGGGAGGTTGTTCCAAGTTATTACGACATATAGGGCAAAGATTTGCCTACGAATGTCAAGTGTGGAGTGTTGAGAGAATATTTTTGTTGGAAATCCTTTCAAAACTTACTTGAAAATTTTGATGAATATCTATCACACACGTTATTTCTGTTGCACAAAGTTTCTAAAAATAGACCTCCGACTTTAGATCTAGCTTCTCAGTGACGTTGACCGAATAGATCTCCAGATATCTTTTGTATGAAATTTGAATCGGACTATAATTTGTTTACGAATGCTTTTCTAGCAAAAACATGTTAAGAATAACGAATGGCAACATTAAACCGGACTTTAAAACTACACATGTATGCTGTATTGATATTAGCTCGTTTTCATAACCTCACGTTTGTTTTCTTAGTTAATGAATATACACGTCATGGAATTGTAATGTTACCATGGAGACCATAGATATAAATCGAACGTGACATCAAGTTTGACTTAGAAATGTCTATCTTCTATCATACTTGCTTAAAAATCGATTTATTATGGTAGCAATGGATCTTCAATTTGTTTACATCTGATGTATGGTGTATAATACTCGTCACAAATTTTTCATTTTAGCTCGCGAATGGCTTGCTGAATGATATTTTAGGACATCGTTTCATAAATTCACATCTATATATATATCCGCATTAATTACAGCTTTGTGAAGTTAGCTCGACATTCTACATTTAAAAAATCAGAATTTGATTGTAATGCACCTCGACATATGACTTTCAACAATTAAATTTTGAATGTTTCGCAGTTCGCCATCCATCATCGCAGCGCGACATACGTTTTTTAAACATTCATATTTCAAATGTCATGCAACAAGACATTTGGCAATCAACGTTAAGAATTTAAATGTTGGTAAGCTCGACACACCTGTACGATATTCAATGTTCAGAATTCAAATGTTGCATAGCTGGACATTCGACATCTAAAATAACCAAAATTGTGAATTTTCTGATTCTAGGGTCCGGTATATTCTCGCTTTGAGAGAGAATAAAATTTACTGTCATTTATATAAGTAAAATAAATTTTTAAGTATAAATTATATAATCAACATAGAAGTAGGAACCAAAATGAGGCTAACTTGATCAAAATCGTTCTACTACGTGGTGCAAAAGATCTTACTTTGTGAACAAGATGATTTCTATGACATCAACAAAGGAGATAGCCTAAGGCCTCTGGTCTGTATAATATCTTAATATATAAACATAGTATATTATCAAAAGTTGCATTCGAGGGAGTATAGATAATATTCACTAATGCAGTTCTAATTGTTATCTTGAATTGTAAAAGATTAACAAGGAAGACACAATAATATTTCATTGCTGTCCGTACTTCCTGTTTTAAAGATGACAAACAAGTGTTCGAGGCCGATTCTTCTTACGAATGTCCTCGTATCACAATCAACTCAAAAATCCATTGGCGCAACATGTACACTCCATAACACTTTATTTTTTTTATTTATCTAAATGTGTATTTAATGGGTTTACGTCAACAAATACGGCATTTCGGCCTTTTTAGAAAATGAGTAGAAGCGGAAATGTATAAAGTGATTGGAGAGAGTGGGATACAGAGATGACGTAGAAAGGGGCCGTCTATACTATTAGTGATTGGAGACAGTGGGATACAGAGATGACGTAGAGAGGGGCCGTCTATACTATCAGTGACTGGAGAGAGTGGAATACAGAGATGACGTAGAGAGGGGCCGTCTTTACTATCAGTGACTGGAGAGAGTGGGATACAGAGATGAGGTAGAGAGGGGCCGTCTATACTATCAGGGACTGGAGAGAGTGGTATACAGAGATGAGGTAGAGAAGGACCGTCTATACTATCAGTGACTGGAGAGAGTGGGATACAGAGATGAGGTAGAGAGGGGCCGTCTATACTATCAGTGACTGGAGAGAGTGGGATACAGAGATGAGGTAGAGAGGGGCCGTCTTTACTATCAGTGACTGGAGAGAGTGGTATACGGAGATGAGGTAGAGAAGGACCGTCTATACTATCAGTGACTGGAGAGAGGGGATACAGAGATGACGTAGAGAGGGGCCGTCTATACTATCAGTGATTGGAGAGAGTGGGATACAGAGATGACGTAGAGAGGGGCCGTCTATACTATCAGTGATTGGAGAGAGTGGGATACAGAGATGACGTAGAGAGGGGCCGTCTTTACTATCAGTGACTGGAGAGAGTGAGATACAGAGATGAGGTAGAGAGGGGCCGTCTTTACTATCAGTGACTGAAGAGAGTGGAATACAGAGATGACGTAGAGAGGGGCCGTCTTTACTATCAGTGACTGGAGAGAGTGGGATACAGAGATGAGGTAGAGAGGGGCCGTCTATACTATCAGTGACTGGAGAGAGTGGTATACAGAGATGAGGTAGAGAGGGGCCGCCTATACTATCAGTGACTGGAGAGAGTGGGATACAGAGATGACGTAGAGAGGGGCCGTCTTTACTATCAGTGAATGGAGAGAGGGGATACAGAGATGAGGTAGAGAGGGGCCGTCTATACTATCAGTGATTGTAGAGAGTGGGATACAGAGATGAGGTAGAGAGGGGCCGTCTATACTATCAGTGACTGGAGAGAGTGAGATACAGAGATGACGTAGAGAGGGGCTGTCTATACTATCAGTGACTGGAGAGAGTGAGATACAGAGATGAGGTAGAGAGGGGCCGTCTATACTATCAGTGACTGGAGAGAGTGTGGTACAGAGATGAGGTAGAGAGGGACTGCCTATACTATCAGTGACTGGAGAGAGTGGGATACAGAGATGATGTAGAGAGGAGCCGTCCATTCTATCTGGCCTGTTTTAAAACTATTATTTGAATGGTGACCATTTGCCAATTATAGTCCTACTCTAACATTAACTAAGTACTAGGGACAGAGAGGATGAGGAAAGGGACCATGTATTAAATAAATTTCGATTTAATAATAGTAGTCGAAATTACTAGATAAATAATTGCTATTGCTAACCTAACCCTAACCTTTGGCCTGGCGTTATCACTTTTTCTGCCACCATTTTAAGTCCCGTTACACTATGTGCTTATAAAGAAAGACGATAAGATTCGTCGTTATCCAACATCAACATTAATAATATCAAATAAGTACTATGTAAAGTCTTTCCTTGCAACTGAAATATTGTATGTATATCTATGAAACAGACGAGTTCATAATACTTGTCCTACACATCAGTGAGTGGTGATGAAAAAGATCTTTACATAAATATTCTATACGGCAGTCACACCGTATAAATATAACATGATTTTCGGTGTGCTTATGATGTATGCAATAAGTTATGCGAAAGATCAACTCGGAAAGGACGGAAAAACTGGACTTACCAAAATTGTAGTTTACAAAAAGAGATTATTATAAGACTAATTTGACGATAAATCTTGTACTATCCTGTGCCCGACAAACAGCGCAAAGCCAGAGAAATGATATCTGATCGAAGTCTGACGACGGGGCCTAATATCAATATCGATAGTCATAACGTTTTCACACTTTTCAGAAACAACCCAATAAAAAGTTTAAAAATTTGTGATATATTTTTAACATTTTGGTATAGATATATAATAATTAGCTATAATTTGTTAAGCAAGCAGATGACGAAGCAATCTGAAGAAGACTTGTTTCCAGTGGACACCTTTGGCTAACGTCCAACACGTTTGAGGAAGGCGGTTTTTAGAATTCGGTACTATAAAGACTTTTGATATGTACGGAAGCGTATTCCGGCCACGTTGTGTTTTATTTTATCTCGAAATTTTGAGATAGCAACTCGAAATTTTGAGATAGCAACTCGAAATTTCAAGTTAGTAATCCAAAATTTTGTGTTAGAAATCCGAAATTTTGAGATATTAACCAGAAATTTTGAGATAGTAACTCAAAATTTCGGATTTCTAACTAAAAATTTCGGATTTCTAACTGAAATTTTCCGTAGATATGTACTTTTAAGCATAAAACATTTTTTTTCATTCTCTTGATTGATTTTGAAGCATTTAGCTCGTTAACAATGTAACAGATGATAGAGATTGGAGAAGAAGCTGACGATGTTGTACAGCGTGATTATGACGTCACAAAAATAATGTTGAATAGGTCAGAAATAGATTATATTTACCGAATTTTCACCAACAGTTTAACAACCGTGTTGTAACAAAACAATAACTATACAAATTGATAGAAGGAGAATCAATTTGAAAATTATTCTTGGGCCCACATAGCCGAAATACACACACTCAATGGAACAGATTATTTGTAATTCTGGCTGTTGAATTTGGGTCACAAAATGTATGTTTATAGAGACCAACCCGCTGAACGGTTGCCTTCAGCATGTGACCATGAGAAATAGTTCATTAGGTTGGCCCTAACACCTCTGAAAAATTGTTTTGACAGATGGTTTGTAAGGCGTAATTGTATAATATTTGACTATTTTTTATGTAAACACATACAAACGATTTATTTTTAATAATTTTTTATTTTATTTATATGAAAACATATAATAACGATCATAAAATATTACTGATAAAAGAAAGTACAATAAACACTCCTCAGAGAGAACAACTGTTATCCTGATATTGGAAGCACATTTTTCATTTCCTCGTCAAAATCAAAAACCACTGTAAGTGTATAAGAAAAAGGTGGCTCTACGAGAAACGATTAAAACTTGATTGTTTTGACAGAAAAAAATCTGAGTCTACCACGGTCTCCATACATTAGAGTCTGCGATCCCTTGACTACTTTGATCACAAAACGGTGTAGTACCGCTGTTCATGATCTGCATATGTCTACCGCTTGTAGTAGAAGGTAAATCAAATGTTTGCGTCATCGGAAGTTGAAAATGCGACACGGATGATTGAATGTTAGGCACTTGATAAGAGACAGGAGACACTTGAAGTTGCACAGGAGACGTCGAAATATGTTTCGGAGACACTTGTATTTGATATTGGGGAATGATGTCCAAATTATTGGTATTGCAATGCATAACATCAACTTCCTGTTTGATATATTGCGCAGGTGCGCATTGACTACCAATGAGATACTGCTGCGGAAGTCGATGTTGACGCTGCTGAGAGCTGGACTCAGACAGTGGAGTTTCTACTGGTTGATCGTTGGTGGCCTGCTGGCTCAACAAACATGCCCGTATGTTGTTTTTTTGATAAGGAGACAGATTTGATCCGTCGACAAAGTTGAAAACATTTCGAAGACATTCCTTGTAGCCTTTCTCATAGTCTGACCTTGAACCTGTAAAACGGACGTTTAAGATATTACTAAATGGTTAAAACAGCAGGAGATATATACATGTATGTATGATAACGGAATATTTGTTTATGAATTTTTTTATAACTCGTCCTAACAAAGAATTGAATTGAACAAAATCCCTGTTACCTGTCTCTAAGAAACGCGAATGACTGGAAACAAACGACAACTACACTAGTTAACGAAGGGTCTTTATCATTGGTAGTTTTGAATGTTTAAACACTGAAGATACATGTAGTATATAATGATAGAAGATAAATTCGTTTAAAAAGACGAGAACTATCACAAAATATTTACCTTGTCTTTCGCTTGTTCTACGTCTCTTTATGTACTCTACAGTTTTCTCTAGTACTTCCGCTTTCTCTAATTTCACAGGAGATGGCTGAAAAACGAAAAAAATAAATAATAAAAACATGACCTCTGGTTATAGTACAGTCAAGCATTTTGCTTTAGCACCTTAAATATAATTTTTCGTAGTCCATTTTTATTTAATTTGATATCGAAAACATATTCCATTTGATCAAGGATGTTGATGGTGTTTGGGCTACGATATTTATTAATCCATAAAAAGGACCGAGACATCACGTATTGTTCTAAATAAGGAAGATAAGTTCGACAATACGCCGTTATCCGTTAAAGAAAATTTCAATAAATAAGGCCCAGACATTAAGACTTGTTCTAAATAACGACAATAAGTTAAATGTTTTTGTATAAACTTTTTTTTTCATACATAACGATTTTGTTCAAGGCGCAAGACCAAGAAACACCGTTATACGTTATAGACATTTTCCACAAAGAGGGCCCAGACATAAGGTTTTGTTCTAAACAACGAAGATAAGGTAAATATTTTGTATAAACACTTTGTTTTCATTCGTAAAGATTTTGTTCGAGGCGGAAGACCAAGAAACGCCGTTATACTTTACAGAAATTTGATGAGACACAGACATATCCTAGGGCACCTTGTACCAATCAAAGAAAAAAATCAATGGGCCGTTAGACTCCGTTATCAATAAATCATCGGAAGCTTTTAACTTAAACAGAATCAATAGTACACAAAGATTTAATTGAAACTTGTATGTAAGTACAAATTGTTACGTACTTCTGAATCCTCCGGCAGGATAAGTGTTTCTAACTGCTCAAGGAATAGATTGATCCGTGCACGTCTCTGTCTCTCGGCGATGTGCTTTCGGGTCTGTAACAATACAAAATGTATTATACTATTAATATATATATATTGAAGAAAAATACATATAATTCTATATAATGATACCTTTTCCATTTACGTTAATTTGACTGTTAATTGGTGTTTTGACAAAATGTATTATACAATATAAAATATATATATATATTGAAGAAAAATACATATAATTCTACATTAATGATACCTTTTCCCTTTACGTTAATTTGACTGTTAATTGGTGTTTTGAAAACAAGTATGTTACAATATAAAATATATTATTAATGTGAATATTGAGGAAAAATACATATAAAAATACATATAATTCTATATTGAGGAAAAATACATATAATTCTACATTAATGATACCTACTTCCTTTATGTTAATTTGACTGTTAATTGGTGCATTGAAAACAAATATGTTACAAGACAAAAATTTTGTAAGAATTGTGTAAGTTTACATAATCATTCATACAGTTTATAAAGTCGTGTTTTAATAAAATTGCTTTAATAGATATGAAAACTAATATTTGAAAATTTTAATTAATAAGTTATATCCTCGTTAATGCAAAGCAGCTATTTTTAATGCTTTACAGTACATATAGATTACCTGACAGAAAAATAAAGATTTTAATTTCATACTCAAAACACTACGAAGACGTACAACAATTCGAATAGTGAAAAGACACATGTCAAGTATATGTGTGTATCGTTTTATTATTAATTTAGTAAAATAAACACGAGTAAGCGATGTATAAAACTGAAATTAATATGCTGATATGTTTTAAGAAGTGATAAGAAACGATACCACGAAACAGTATTGAACAATAAACATATATATCATAAAATAACCTTTGTACAATGTTCTTGATGTAAGGAATATTTTCTTCGAAATTGTCCTATACGGCTTTATTTATTCGTTTCCAGAATACAACAGTTTCCGCTTAAGTTAGTCTATATCATAAAGCGTTATATCCTCAGGGGTATACTTAAATATATATTGTAACACAGCTTCCTACCTAATGTAAATTTATGGGGCGTTACCAGCCTTTGAGGTGTTCAAATGTTTGTTTTTATGTACAGGCGGTCGACTTTGTGACGTAACAAATAGGTTACGCCCCACTCGTGTAGAAAGACTAGCCATAAATCTATGGTAATAGATACAGATAAGTCACATAGGTAAAACTATTTATCTATCAACCCGTTACTGCTAATGTTACAGTTGTAGATTTATTTTATGAGTAAATCGCTTGACAAAATTGACTAACAGTTGAGTTTTACTGAGACCGATTGTTGACCAATCTGTTGTTTATCAATCCTAATGTAATACCCTATTTCAGGAATCATTAATACAGTAAACAAATGCCTTATTAACCTGTTTTGTGGTATTTTCATATTTTTTATCGACATGCGGCAAATTATGTTTTTCATCATAATATTTTTTTTATTTTGTTCTATTTAAATATTTATCTGTTTCTTTTAATTTTTTCTACTTTTTTCAATTTTGTTTAGATTTTTTTTTATCTCAAAGTAAGATAATTAGAAATATTGATTTGATTAGAAAAATATATTGGAAATTGTCAAAGATATTGCAACAAATAGGAAAAATGAAAAAGAAGACATGATATGTATCAATATTTGGCGGTGTTGTTTAGAATATATTTAGTTCAAATACAAGTGTGCATAAAGCAGTGCCCTTCAAATCTATTATAAATGTTTAAGATATATATGGGATTATTTTCTGTAATTCTGTAAATTAATTAAGTCTATCAATTTAGCGAATTAGAAATTGACTGACAACAACATGAAAGGAAATTTAAATTATATATTAAATCATGCTAGCTAAAAGAAGCGTTAATACAAATTTATCAGATATATATTTTTTAAAAATTAAAAACATGTGTAAATTAGTCACATAAAAGCAACTTACCAAACATTTCAGGTTTTCCTTTTCCGTATGGTTAATTGATGTTGTCAGGAATTTCATCGTTTTTCCTAATAATATATTTTGATATTATGAAATAAGTTCTTGACGGCTGATGTAGTACCAACAGTAACCTTGTGACCAAGTCCAACTACAAAATGATGACCTTTTTCTATCTGGTCTCTGCTAAATACCGAATCATCCTACCCTTAGGGCTATTCTAGTTCTTTTCACGCAACACGTGGCTATTATTCCGGAATCTGATAGCATACAAACAGTCTGTAAAGAAAAGCAGTAACTTGCTTCTGGGCGTGTGTCCGATTTGGATCCGAACAATGATTTATCTCTGAAAATCACTGATCGGCAAGATTATAAATCTATTTAATCTTTTGACTGATTGTTAAAAATGCCCAAACTTTTACGACCGAACGTTAAGTAGGGATAAAGGCTGGACAAGACTTCCTCAAAGATCAAAGAGCAAGACGTTAATATGAATTTGGAATTACCGCTTGACCGTACGTTAACGGTACTGTTATATCATACATCCGTATACCTGCACGCGTATTAAATATGGAGTATTTATTTACTACCTGGCTCAGGTGCAAAATATCTGATTAACAGTAGATAAATTACCATATGAAAGCAGCCGGAAGAAAGAAAGATTTGTAGTTTACAAATTGTGTATATTCAATGTAACCATTTCTTACAGTTACTCAGCTCAATTCTTTGTAAATTAGCTCATTTTTGGGTTCGACAATTATTTTCTTAACAGTTTGCAGAATTCAGATATTAAGTCTAGAGTACAGCAGGGGTCCATTTTTGGATGTCTTTTGTTTCAGATGTAAATGTATATAATCTAGTATAAAGTAACTGGCCGACGATATTATTGATATACCCAGAATCAGTGCGGATATTCTTAATAGTGATAAAATGAATAATTCTATTATTTATTGAATTTTTACATTAAAATATTAAAAGGGTTTTTACAAAATTAATAGAAAGTTTTGATATTTTCATTATTTTTTTCTTATCATTCAAATCACAACATTTTTGCATTCAAATTTTGTCCCTTAAAGAACACTATGGAAAAAATACTCCCACCCCCACACACACACGCACACACCACCACCGCCAATCCTCCGCCTCCCTCCTTCCCAGTTTAAAACGTTTATAGTCGGCATTAAAACGATAGATCTTTTATCTTCTTTTATTTTTGACAAAATGACATAAACATTAGTGTACATATACGAATTACATATATTCACGTTTATAGTATAAATATGTGTCTCGTGCAGTATATAAATTATTTGTAGTTTATTTATGGAGAAGAGTTTTTCAGAACTTGTCTCTGATCCATTTATCTGTTTCTGATAATAAAATATGTTTAAATCAATCAAAATTTCTAATTTAAATACTAGTGTCCCAGACGGGGAACTACATGTATATATGAATGTATAATTAAAGTTGAACACAAAAATAGAGAGAGAACGTCAAATTTAAACCAATATCAAAGTTACTGTAAAAATGTTAATGGAAAATGTTCCTCGTTTCTTTACCAATAACAGCACAGTTTCATTTCCTATGGTAGAAGGTTTGAGATTTGTTTACTCCATGTCCACAGAACTCATTTTCAATAAAACTGGGGTTAAAAAGAAAGAAACGGAGATTTTTGAAAAAGTACAAGGAGAATAAGACTGTCGTAGCCCTTGTTACTGTCTAAAACACTGACATACACATTTTCACCAGTCTCCAAGTTATAACTCACACACTCGTGGAGATTAAACGATGTACATAAACTACATAATCCTTTCTGGTATGCCGTTTGGTGTTTATCTAAAAACGAATCGGTCTAAAACTTACGTTAATCTTTCTAATGTTGGCATTTCAAACACTTTACAAATAGACAATGTTATGCCTCTGTAATTATTCGGGTCGTCTCTTGGCTTATTATTGACTTTGTATCAGTTTATGATATTTTCCCATTTTTCGGTCGAACAGTATATATTCTTACTTAATTACCAGATTGAATAACCTTGCTAAGTATATATAAACGCTTCACCCTCGTTAATCAGATTCTCATATACATCTCCGTCAAACCCACCTGATTTTCCATTATTTTAGCAATTTAAATATGTCTTTCATTTAACTACTAGTAACAGGACTGTATAAGAAAACACCTCTTTCAATATATATGTTAGTCTCAATGTTCTTCTTACTTTGCATAATGTAATTATAAACCTCCTCATCGAACTGATCGCATCGAACGTCTTTGAAAAGAATTGAGAAATTAGTAGCCCATACTTACCATATCTCACCAGTTTCCCGGAAAGGTTTACCGTTAAACTTAATTTCTATTTGTGCATATCACGACTTAGAATTTTCACTTTTAAATAAGTCCCATACTTTCTATTTGACCTGATCTCTTTATTTCCTCAGAGTGGTCCGACATGTATTGATTGAATGCCTTTCACAAACCACTTCTAAAATTACTTTCGGATTTTTGTATCCTCTTTAACATTTTATGGTAGAATATCTAGGTTTATACTCAATTAATCATTGTTATCTCTTTAAGCACATGCTTTCATATACCACTTTTAACTCTTTACTCCGGTTGGGTTAAAGATAGTTTTTATACTTAACTCAGTTTGGAAATGTAAGCTCCGAGGCTTTTAGTGTGCATAAAAGGTGTTCTGTTTTAAACAATGCCACTGGTATTTGTAATAGTTTCAGGTAATATTATTTGTGCCAACATTTCATTAAAAACAGTTCTATAATTTTCAATATATCCGTTTGATATAAATTTCTTCCAGTTAGATCTATTAATCTTATCGCCTTATACTGTGCTGGGATAAAATCAACTTCCTGTCCTTGACTACATTTTGTAATTTGATAACGAGACACCGATTTAATTGATTACTCAGATTTACATTTTGATAGCGAAATTTTTACTCTTATATAAGGTAGTGTAGACATCTGTTTTCTTTCTGTGAATTGTTACTGATATTTTATCATTTTACCATCCTAAACTTCTATCTCTGAATTACGAGACTCTAAGTTTCAAAAATATTTAACAGGCATTCCGCCTCCATCCATCTATACTGGTTTTAATGTAATCATATAGTCAACTTTTCCTTTCTGACGTTTTCTAGATCTGTCCTCTTCTTTTTCAAGAGCTATACATTACATGCTTGATGATGATTATTACTTCTAGTTGCTTAGTTTATCCATTTCCGTCTTATTATAGCTAAAATACGAGATGGTCAATCCCAATATTTCTAGTAGGATGGTATTGAATGATAATTATTTACCTATAGAACATTGTTACCATTCAAATCTCTGATTTCTTTACGTAAATTGAATTAAGCAATATGTAAACATTATTGCTACACCTTACAATTAAAGCTATATGAGTTCAATAAAAAGACTCTCGCGGTTTATAGAGCTGTTGTTTTTAGCTCACCCGGCCCAAAGGGAGGGCCCAAACGGGGGAATAGAGCAAATTCTTTAAAATCCTATTCCTCCTCTAGGAATGATTGGATTATAGCCAAATTTGGGCTGAAGCATTCCTGTGTAATGAGGAATCAACTATTACACCAGGTGAGCGATACAGGCCCTATGGGTCTATTGTTGTTTTATTCAAATATATTCATATGATTGTTTACTTGATTCTATGTACAAATACCCACGGTTTTGATGTTGTTAGGTTTGAAGATTTTTATCGTTCTAACACCTCGGTCTTAAGACGTACTGTTCTTTATATTTTTTTCGGGGTAGTATATTTATCACCAAAGGCTGGTCGAGTCGCGCAGTGGTAACGCACATGTATTTTACCTATTCGATTTCCGGGACGGACGTGAAAGGTATGGGGTTACCTTCCCTACCACCTGTGTTTTCCCACAGTACGACCTCGCTCGCGTTTCCATCCGGGCCAACAAGAGTGTTTAATATATGTTGGAAAAACTTGTTCCGCAATTGTTGTAAAATAAACAAATTATTAATAATATCATCAAAGTTTCACTGGAAATTTAAACAAATTAAATACAAACAATCATGCACACTCACTCAGTGACAAAAGTAGAAATAGATATATAAATGATGGAAAACTAAAGATAGAATAGAAAAGAAACTGGAAATTTTATCAAATTTCAGATTGTTTAAACAGAGCAGGGGTCCTAGCACTGTACTACCGTTACATTATTGATGACAGACCTATTAATTGTTGAGTTGAAAATGTCCATGTTTCTTTCAAAAAAGCAAAATTGAACCCTGATTGTCTCTTGAAGTTATCATTATGCTAATAGAGTTTAAACTAGGAATTTAACACAAAGGATAATTGTCCAGTGTCTTTCGATCACTTTGGGTTTGACTTAGTCGCATGCTTGGACTTCAAAATGTCAGCCCCTTTACATTACTGACGAAAGGAAGAAAGGCATAATGACATTTTGAAGGCTTCCTTTTGGAGCCAGTGCACTCCCACCATCGACCTTTCTGTGTGTATTTCTTTTTCGCGGGCTATAACAGGTTCAAGTTCAAGTTCAAGTTCTTTATTACTTTAAGCCATCTGGCTCATCAGTAGACACTTGAATATTTACGATGTATAGACGTGACATAATACTTTCGCACCACACCCACACAAACACACAAAATCTAACATACAGTGTAGAGAATGACCTTAATACAGGTAAAACATACCTAGCCAACATTTTGATTTTTGGGGTATATAGGTAAGGTATTTTGTTGGCCAGGTGAGACTAGGAGTGGAAGGTAGAACAATAGGAGATAATTACAGGTAAGGCTATAGACTGCTTCATAAAACTTCCTACTTTCAAGAGAAAAATATCTTAATTTAATAACTACATGTATTTTTATTTCACATTGAATGCATTTACAGTATTAACTTACTTATATACCCTATATATAAGAAACATAGCTACTATTTTTAAATTATAGAAAAACATTGGAATATCAGAAAGTACACATATAACTACTATTTTTCAACTATTTCAATTATATAATTATATACACATATACAGACACATAAAGTAGCTTGATTTCAAACGTCC